AAAAGCCATTAGGTTTCCTTTGGATCAGTAGGACCATGCAGGCAGGGTGTATGGGAGATGGAGACATGAATAAGGAGGGGCGAGGGAAAAGGACTGCTTCTTTCAGCAGCAGCCAGTGGTTAGGTTAGATTAAAGCATATTGTGAAACTGCTCCACAAATGCAATGCACACACAAAAATGAACAAGTTACAGCTGCCAGGCAGACATACCTGACAGCTATTTAGATCAGGGGAAAAATGTGTATCTACATTCTCAAGTGCTTTCTTCCTAAAAGGAAGTATAAAAGTCACAACTAATTATGCAATTCCTAATGCTAATGAAGAAAGAGATAGCAACATAGCTTAACAGCATATTTAAAACTACTTATGTTTAAGCATTACCATGAATAAAACTGCCATCAACGCAATCCTTTCCAAAAGAAAGAAAAAATTAGAACTTGACGGGTTCCTAATGTCCACTTAAAAACCCTATCAGACCACAAAACATGTTGAGTATTTTCACATCAGCAAATATATTTATTTTCATTATTAAAATATGGATACAGTCCAATATAAAAGAAAACACAGCTAGTTTTCACAATATGAAAAGTTCATTTTTAACATACTGCAGAAGCCTGAAAAGTAAAAAATAATACCCCACCTAATGGTTATAAATAAAGAACATTAAATAAAATTATCTATTCTCCCTACTCAGAAAAGTAAGACATAGCTAAAAGAAAGATTTTGAAATTAACACACAAGTGTAAGAATGAATTAAAATGTGTTGACTTGCAAAAAGAGAGTAATCAAACATAAATCATTGTGAAAAGGTTCACAGATCATAAAATTAACACATTCTAAAATGTAACATACGATACAAACACTCTTAAGACTTGTTGCACAGTTATTTCTAAATGCTCCATGTTGCTGAACACATGCCAGTACAGGGCCTGATCCCACAAAGATTTACACTCATACTGAGCTGTGAATAGTCCTATTACAATCAACAGGATTACACAGAAAATCTACGTATCGTGCATAAAATTATCCATGCATGAAAATCTTTGCCACCTTGCTTATACTAAGAATCAGTATTAGATCATCACCAGCACAACCATAATCTAATATCAAACATGTGTATCAGAAAGCTTTCAATACTATATTAACAAAGGTACAGTTACACGTCAAAATCCACAGGGATGTCACCAGTGTAGCAAACATACTTTAAATATTCCAAAAATCACAGGCAACGTTGCTTTTTCTTTGGGAAAAAAAGCCCACTGATTTTGTGGCACTAAATTATAAACTACTAGAAAACAGTTAATTTTGAGAATTTATATGGGAATTTCTACCACTGTATAGTTAACCTCAAAAGAACAATGCAGAATTTCTGCCCTTACGCTATGAAAGCCAGGCACTCAAAAGTGCTCACTCTGGAGACTTCCAATAAAATTTATATGCAGGAAAGCAAGCACTACACATAACTAAGGCTACCCAGCATCATCTGAGTACTTTTAATAGTTTGTAACTTCACTCCAACTGGTTAAAATTTTGTGAAGTTTCATGTATTATGTGCATACCTCAAGCTGAATCTTTGTAAAAATATTTCAGATAATGTATCAAATGTTTTTTCATGTGGTTCTGATAGCAGTACAGTTATATGACAAAGCTGAGCCAATCTAACAGCTAACTGTCATTGAAAGGGGCAAACCTGCTCCCTCCTCCTGTGAGAGTCCACCCTATCTTTTGTGCCTACTCTGATGCTCATATAAAGACATACTGGTTTATACATTCCACCAGCCTGGCAATTTTTTTTTTCCCCCCAGTTATTAATTTTCTGCCAGGTTAACTCACTGACTGAATTTACCATAAAGACAGTGTGTAAGAAGCAGCTCAAAACAGGGTAGAGGAGTGGGCCCTTCCTTGTTCAGCATTCACAGCCTGTCTCAGCCCATCTCATATAATTTCACCTTGAAAATAAATGGAAAAGAAAAATATGTTGCTTTTTAAAAACTGTGATTTTTTTTTTTTTTTTTACAAGCCCTTAAAGTCCTTGGGTCTCACCACTCCTCCACTATCTGCAAGTATCTGTGAAGCATCTCTTCTCATCACTAGCACTATGCTAGTGTTGTTTTACAGAAGATGACAACCTGCTGTTGCTATCAGTTACCCTACTGGCCCAAATGGCAAAGGTCTGTATACATGTATGTATAACAGAATTTCTGGTGTTTCTTTCCAGATTGCTTTTTTAAAATCCTTAAAACATTATACACTAAAACCTCTGGGAGACTACAAGAAGTTGTATGCAAACATACAGAAGTTTCAGGGATTACCACGACTAAGATACCTTGGCTCATCATAATCCACCTCTCTAGCCTATTGGCACTGTGGGGTTTTTTATTTTTTTTAAATAAAAAGATCATATATGTATATATGTGTGTGTATATATGTGTATCTTTTTCTACACAGCATCGTTTCCTTCAGCACACTGGATGGAACTGCTCCACAGGAACAGGTGAAACTAGTAAGATAGTTTATAATATCCTTGCTCCATTTGTTGCAAGGGCTGAAATGCACGTAACTGAGACACGGAGAGCAGGAAAGGAAAGTCACGACCATTTAAGGAGTTGAATGCCATCTTGCAAAATAGGATCCTATCCTTGATCCTGCCAGAGATGTTACACAAGTCTACGCAAGCCATTTCTACCAAACTTTTTTAAAAAACAGGTGATCAATAATTATACTTTCCTCATTTTCTGGGTGCTTACCCTGACACATTTGAGTCAGATTTACCCTAAATGCTGAGTACTCAAGGCTGCAATTAAATTGGTTACAGCAGTACTTTGAAAATACAAAGACGAATGCAACGCTGTATATTACTTGTTTTTAAAAAAGCTCTTAAAGAGCTCAGTGGACATCCCCACCAAACACAAATTTTCATCTTACTCCCAGGCATCAATTCTCCAGCCATAAAAAAAGAAATACTCATTTCCTTTCCCTGAGGCATAGTGAAGTACTTGTAATAATAAGCAACATTCAATATAGGACACAAGGGTGAACTAATCAGTTTATAGTGCTCTTGTTCCTGCGGCCAGCACAGGTCCTGAGGGAAGAACGTGGCACATGTAAGATGGAAAGGTAAGCCCACATCAGTTACTTAGGTAACTACTGTGAGAAGATGGGCAAGAGGGGTCTGGCCTTTCCTGGGACCTAATCACTGATGAGAAAGTGCAACCAACCAGTAGGTTTCCAACTAACGTAGTAGTCACTTTGGTGGAGAATCACGAGAGGAATGGGGGCACACAGATGCAGGACTGTCATCAAGAAAAGGTAAGCACGACAGTGAGACTGAAGAGAGGAACACTGGTTACCACCATGATGTTGTAACAGAACTGTAAGAGATCTGGCTTCTTTTCTCAGCTCTGGCACTGCTGTTGGGCAAATCTGTTATCTTGGCAAATCATTCCCTGCCCTGTATTTGCACTTCCCTATCTCCAAAGCAGGGGCAATGACCCACCTAGGATTTAGGTGTGAAAAGAGAGGTAGGAACTATCTATGAGGGCCTCACAAGCCTAGTGATAACCATTCCAGAAATTTCACAAAGAAATATATTCATTCTGCCATCAGAGCAGGATTAAGCAGAGCATAGTAAGAGAACATACGTTATGCAACGAGAAGAAAGTAAATTACAGAGCAGCTGCTTATTCAATGAGCAGCACATATCCTGTACATTCAAAAAAAGGGGGGTTCTGTGGGGGGGAAATACCGTGTTCATGTATCACAGAAGACTACGATATAATATTAAGGTACAATACAACAGTAATATAGTGAGGATGGTAAAATTAAGGTGGCATAGGTAAAGCTTAATGCTGCAATTTTCATGTTTGCATGCTTGACTTACACGTAAAACTGTTCTTTAAAAGCATGCTTTTCTTGCCTGTAATATCTTTACTTCAGCTTCATTGTTTTCTAAAAGGCTATTTACGCGCATTGAAGAAAAATAGTAATTACAGAAAAATGCAAGATATTTACTTAATATATCCACGTAGATGAAATAACATTGGACAATAAGCTAACAAAAGTATAATCAAGAAGGTTTTGATAAAAAAAACCTTCAAGTCAGCAGCAAAAGTGGTCTCTCAGATTCGGGAAGACATCCTTCATTTACATACATGACAGCATAAAGAAAACTTTCAGGAAAATACCAGTACTAATATAAACCATAGTGAGAAGGACATGAATAACAATACAAAACAGATCTTACAGAGCACAGGCAACATTTCTTGATCTTACACTGGATATTAGGAAAAATTTCTTTACTAAAAGGGTTGTTAGACATTGGAACAGGCTGCCCAGGGAAGTGGCTGAGTCACCATCCCCGGAGGTATTCAAAAAGCACATAGACAAGGCACTTCAGGACATGGTTTAGCAGTCAAGGTTGATGGTTGGACTCAATGATCTTGAAGGTCTTTTCCAACCTAAACGATTCTATGATTCTATGATCTTACTTCAGTATTTGAAAGCATTATTTCAACACAGACTCCCAGGTTGTGAGGGCAATGCAAGTGTGTTAGAATACAGGAACCATTCTCCTAAGTTGCAATTTCAAGTTTAGGGCACCGTCACGCACTAAGGACACATTTTTCCCAAACTTCATTATGGTAAACTTATTCAGGGTAAGATTACATTCTGTGTAACACCTAGAAACAAATTCTGCAAAATATCATTGGCTTTCTGTAGACTAACTTTTCACATGGTGGTACTGGCAAGGAAGATTTTCTCATTTAAACCTGCTGAGGAGGCAGAGTCATACCCCAGCATAACTTCATTTGTAATGGATATTTATTTCATTTCAGCTGTGTTTCAAACATACCCTTCATCTACACATGGAACAGTAACCTCAAAAATTCCAATTAGTCTGAAACACAATAGAATGAATACCTCTTTAGTAAAACATTCACTGCAGACAGACCAAGCAAATCCTATGCTTTCTATATTGTTTTTCGAACACCACAGTGTTACCTTCAGTGGCCATCTTTCAGAGCCACCAGTGGTCTGGGCCAGAAGATCTGAAAGAGCCCTTCCTAAAGTTCAAAGTCATAGATCTCTGTTGACTGTTCCACTCCTCAAATGCCATAGGTCTACCCTACCTAAAAAAAAAAAAGGCCTTTCAGGGACCTATTCCACAAGACTAATACACCTAGCAACTAAAAATTATGAAACTAAACATGAAACACAGAAAATTAACTACTTCAAGCACATAAAAAGCTACTTCACTTTTGCTAACATAAACACAAGGCAACACACACATAACACCATCGATGAACAAAATGAGCTCATATAATAATCTCCTGAGGAAAGAAAAAGACTCACAGGTGACAGTAACTAATCGTAATGGACAAGACATTTCCATAAGATGTTTGGACCCTTCAGAGATGATAGCTGTATAAGAATATAAAAACAGTGAAGTGACAGTGATTTAGGTATCATTAGAAGCAGCATCTCGGACAGTATGTTCTGGTGGTAGCCCTTTCTTTCCTTTAATGCGCGATGAAAAACAAGGAGCAGAGAATCTTGCGATGCTCCATTATGGAAACCACTGACCAACAGCAAACAACAAAAAAAATATCTATCACTGTTCTTCAAGGTATTCAAGCAGTTATGAACTGTGCACCAAGGAGCAATTTTCATCAGTGGAATCAGGGATTGTTGTGGCCTAACTAGCACTCTGTTACAACAGCATCAGAACAGCATCAAGCACGTTCATCAAGAATAAGCAGAAGAGTTAGCACATAAACGGACACACATTAGTATTTAAAGACAGTATGAAATCAGCCAGAAGGGGAAGGAGTAGAAATAAACTTTAAATTCATGGAAGTGAGCAACTAGGTCACTTTCTCAAAAGCCCCTCTTGGAATACAAGCATGTTACAGACCACGTAAATTTGCTGAGACAACAAAGAAGTTTTTTAAAGGTACACTTCTGTATAGTTAGGATTTTCCACACTGTTGCAACAAATCCACCACCTCCCTACTGATAACCAACATTTGTGGTCAGATTGAATCAACTAAGAACTATTCCTATCCCATTTACATAACATTCCAGAATTGTAAATCAGTCTTTTTTAACCTGGTTGATCTTCACTCCAAAGGAAAAAAAAAAGTCAAATCGGGTAACTACTAAATCCAGTGTGCTTCTGCAGTGTATCCTCTTCAAAAGACTATGCACAACCCCAACAAGAACTTCCAGGTAACTCTTCACACCTTGATACTCAGAGAACGGTACGAACAAGGAATCCCGCTGACTTCTATCACATACCCCAAGGTGATTACTCCTCATTACGATTTTACATTTCTCGAACAATTTTAAAGCACTTAAGCCCATTTTCAGATCAAGGCAAGCCAAAACATGAGATGTCTAGAAGCCACTGTATAAGAGCAGTAATAACATAGATATCCTGGCCCATTAACTAACGTTGAAAACAATCCAAAAAATAAAACTCAGACTTCTCAGGATTGTGCCTTCTTGAATAAAAAGATTGTGAAAATTGGATTCTACCTCAATGACTTTGGTACCCTGCAGCTAATTCTTGCTAATTAAGTGCTAGAAAACAACTAAAACAGAAATTCATATTGATCAAAAGATATGATTCATGTTTATAATAACTCCTATAATTATTAGGAACAAAAATCTTGAAGGTTCTTGATGCCATTAACTCACAGGCCAACAATTACGAGTTACCATCCCAAACAGGTCTGAAATTTCTGAGAACCCACAGTCAAATAACTTCATGATGAAGCCAAGTTTTAGTGAAATACATTCAATACAATCCATATTACTAAGCAAGCAGGAAACCAACCTGTAAAGTAAGAAAATATTCTTACAGGATTCTGGAAAAAGAAAAACCCAGCATGTCCTGTGTTTATGGACTGCTTTCCAGATAGTATCTTCTCATCCAACACTGTTAAGAGTCTCAAGTCCTCAAGCCCTCAACCTGCTGATGCAGCTGCACTCACCCAGGTTCCCTCAATGCACAGATGTGTCCCATAGGTAACAAGGCAACAATTTCAAGCATGCAAGATGCAAGCCCTAGAGCTGAGACCGCTTTGCTGAACTTGTGTCCAACCAAAGATGGGCAATGAAGAGTTGCCCAATGTTACAGCCAATTTTAGGCATGTAACAGAACCACAACAGATCCATGCTTTCTGGATATGCAGCCATACTCTCATCACCACCGCAACTGTGGAAAGCCCCACGCCTGTCCTGTGACCTATAAGGAATGTAAGCTGGGGACAACACAAGGACTCAGTAGACAGTAAATTGCAAGGTCATGTGAAGAACTGAGAGATCAGCTTCTCTATCGGTTTGTCCTTTGACATTGCTGTTCCTTGAAAAGTGACAGTAAATTCACACTTAAAGCTGCCTTATATTTGATCCAATACAGTGTATATAACACTGAGTATAGGTTCCTAACAGGCACCAGAAAAGCCTGAACACACCTGGTTTGCATGATCTACCTTTAACTGCCAGATTAAGACAACAAGCCCACCGGTTTTGTCTACAAATTGCCACCTATTCTAGATATTCAAGCAATATACTGTGACAACTGGATCACCATTCTCTGCATGCTCCTTTTCTATAAACTCTTATTTTATTCCTCCTCCCAATTCCTTAATTTCATGTCAGGTATAAATAATTGGTCATCTTAAAAAGTACCTTTTAAATACATAAATACTCTTTTCTACAAGTCATTTAAAAAGAAAACTTTATAATCTCTACCAGAAAAAACAAGATTAAAGCCAAGTAGCTTTCTCAATTCCTTATACCTCTAACAATACAAGCCTTCCCAATCCCCAGAAGACAATCACATAACTTTCACGTCTTTCTGCTGACTCAGATGAAAATTCATTACAGAGTGTAACTGTCAGGTTCACCAGTGACAGAGGAAGCTCCTGAGAACAGCAGCCTAATAAAGCTTTCCTCCTTGAGGGATGATGGCAGTCTTTCTCCTATATGAATGATTCATTTTTGGTTTATGTTGTTAAAGCAATATTCACGCAGGGCACCTTCACACTAGATTTTACCCCCAAAAACGCTTATAAGGTCAAAACATAAGTTGAAAACCAATATTCCAGGGACACATCTAGAAAATCCGCAAGTGATTGTGGTCTAAAATAATTGTATCACATCTTGGTACCCTGAGGATTGACCACCTCCCTCTGCAGTTGATCTACTGTGGTCATGACAAAAATTTTCAAGGTAAGAAGTGTAAGATTACTCTAGCAAAAAGGGAGTTGGTTGAATTTACCAATCTTTCATGAAGAACTTCTTTGTTAAAAGAAACTTTAAAGACACAAAATGAGAAGATTTCTTAAATTTATTTATATAGTTAACTGTTGTATCCAGAAATGCTCAGTGCTATAAATGACCCAACTTAAAAGCCTGACAGTTGTCATCCATTCCACATATATTTTGTCTGACAGAGACTATAACAGTGACCTATGTTAAGAATCACTGTGTATATGGCCAAAACCAGAGCAGAATCGTACTTCAGGAGATCAGCAACAGAGATGATAATTTGCTTCAGAGTACTCTTATATGAGAAACTCTGAAATCATCCACTGCATCTGGAAATACTGACTGTTATAATGCTTACAGACTAAAAAATCATCCATGGATCCTATGAAACGTACTCATTTCTTGGCTTTAATATTAATTTTGCTCCCTCTCCCCTCCCTTTACAAAACCGAAGAATGTTTGCAACGCAATACTACAGATTCACTTGTTGAAAGCAGGACTAAATAGTTTTCACTACCAAAGGAAGCCTGCAGAAAGCTGGTGAATTTAGAAGTTGCTTACTTGCTTTGCCCCTTCCCAGTGAACTACAGATCACAGCTACATCCCAGGCAGCTAACCCACATAATATGCTGCTTGTTGCTTGGCAAAATAAACTTCACTTTATGCTGAATGTTTCTCATACCCAATGACTAGAGCTTTAGGCCAGACATCATCATAAATACATGCTACAAGTGTTTTACATATACATACATACATATGCACACATACTTTTTAGGAGCATATCAGCATTTTCTTGTTTCAAATCTAATCCCAACAACGGAAAAAAAAGAAATCTGACAAATTTTCAGGGCAATCACATAGCTGTTAAAACTCCGAGTTTAAAAAGACATTTGTTTCCCCTTCCTTAAATACTGCTAGTCAACATGTGACTATGCCAAATCTGCCCAGCATCAATATTTCTTACTTCACCTCTTGCACTAAGGTAACATGACCTGGTCATGATGTTACTGGCTTTGTAAACCTTTTTAATTATGTCTTTTATATCCATTTTGGGGTACATAAGTAGTAAAATTTAATACAGACTTTGTGAAAAATTATTACAAAAACATTAAGATACTCATCAAAATTTTTATGAATGGGCATCTTTTTACCTATAGATGTAGCTGCCATTTGAAACACTTTTTAGAGCAGAAAGCTTATCAGCCTCATATCTGAGCTGACTTACACAGATATCACAACAGCTTTACGCATTAGTAGTATCACATGTTATATCAAGAAATTATTTTGTTTTACAGACATTTTACAGGCACCTTGATTTTTGTTTTTTGGTCTGCTTTTTTTTCCCCCAGTGCAAGATATCTAGACAGTTTATATTTGATAGGCTGTTCATAAATTATACCCTACTGCTGTTTGCAGGCTGGAACTTCTTCCCACACAGATTTCATTTTATCATCAGACTGTTTAATTCTGCACTTATAAAAATGTCATCCTAGTCATAAGGGAAGAATTAGACAGTACTGCCTAAGTTTTCTGCACAAACTGTGACAAGATGTAACACTGTAATACTAGTATGCCAGTAGAGTATATCAATTGCAGGATCAGGCCAATATACATACCCCATTAAAGAGCTATGTCTTGCTGTTTTCCAAAGTGCAATGAAATCATGAAGTAATATAAATTAGTAATACATTAACTGTATTACAGTATTCGCACTGTTACCTCTTGATATCATAGCCTAGAATACATTAATAAACTGATAATATCATAAGAGTACACTAAAAATTATTTCTGAGCAAAAGCA